GTTTTAAATACAATGGATAATATAATATGACTAATATATGATTGAATTTTTTATTTATATTGTATATATTTATTTATTTAATATCACATTACATATTGTATAATATGAAATTATACATGTAGGCTTATAATGTCAATTTCTTTTAAGATGTATTTGGTTGGGGAAAAATCTTCCCCCTTTAACGAGGAAAGTTTAAAGATACTTATTGTTTTCACACTTAATCTAATAATAATAATAAATAAATAATTTAAAATTTTTAGTTTTTATTTTCCGTAATATAATTTATAATAAACAATCTTCTCCACCCATGTATTTTAGGGTATGTTTGGTCCATAAAGAACTTGAAAGAAATTTAGCTAGAAGCCATCAAGCCGTGAGCTGTGGTTTGCACTTGGAAAAAAACATAACGGGAGCATGAGGTACGTATAATCAAGTACAAATGGTTATAAGAATTGATTATGTATTCCTAAAATTTTTTCTTGATAAAAAAAAAAAAAAACTTAAGAAATGTTTCTGGGACTAAGTAATTGTTTCAAGTTTTATGGTTTAACATTTATGATTTTACCTTTTTTTCCTAACTCGTATACTAGATAATGGTTGACGTCAACATTCTGTTAGACTCTAAAAACAATAGTTTAATAGGAAAATAATTATATTGATGTCAATTATTAAATTTAAGGTAATATTTTAAAATAAAATTTTGAAGTAACAATTTTTTTTAACTTCTTTTTTTTTTTTAATGTTAATTTGCTTCAACTTAAAAATACTTGGGGTAATTTGCACCTTCTACAAAAACAGTTGAGAGAGGGCTAAACACAAGATCACAAGTACAGGGGCTTGTTCGCATCAAATTTTAGTTTAGGGGTTTTTTGCCACACCTCAAAAAGTAAGGGCTTTTTTGTGCTTTTGCCTTTTTCTTTCAGCCATAGAATCCTTTTTATATCCCAATAAGGAGAAGGATCTCCGTCTCTTTTTCTTTTTAAAAGCCATATGTGTATTGAAGCAAAAGCCAAGCACCTTGTATTAGCATGCCACACGAGGCCAATCACAAACACAGTTATTACTTAGGTGCTAAAGAAGATTTCGGATGTGTTTAGGTTCACTATGAGATGCTGTTTCCATATTGAACTAAATTGCAATTATAATTGAAAGTTATTTTAATATTTAGTTATTTATTTTTTAAATGTACTGTAGTTGACATATAATAAAATTTATTAATTATTAATTAAAATTTAAAAAATATTGTATGATGTATGGTTGTTAAAATAAATAACATTTACTATTTCATAATAATTAGGTTTTTTAGGTTTTATATTATGGGTGTTCTTTAATTAGTCTCACGAGGGAACAGCTCATAAGGACCAAATGAGTTTTTAATTTTTTTAAAGAATTTTCAAATAAATGAGAGATTAGATATAAATAAAGTATTATAAATTATGATGTAATTAAATTAAATAAGGTTGAATTTTAATAGATAATTTTGTAACTGTATTAAATATTAAATATTAAATATTAGGTTTGGTCCTTGAAAGCACAACCAAAAAGCTCTAAAATGAAGTTTCTAACTTTATATATATAATTACTTTGGATATATTATGAATTTTTATAATTTTCACACAAAAATAATCTGAAAAAAAATTACCAAATATATATATATATATATTTAAAAACACTCTACAGCTACAAGAGGAAATCCCCAATCCCCAATCCCAATCCCAATCCCAAACGCACCTTTAGATTACTTCCCAACAGTTCCAAGCACCTAGCTTGAAATCTTGTTCTTCCAGGGCTTCTACGTACCCCAGCAAGCAACACCAGTGACGATTTGTCGCTGCATTGCTGAGGCGGATCACTCCTTGATCGGTACCAACAACCTTGATAGTGAGACCCCTCTGTTTGTTGCCGCCCTCCATAGTAAGAAGGATTCCTTCCTCTACCTCAACTCTCACGTTGATACTCCAGAACAAGGATGCTCTTATTCTAGATGGAAAGATGGCCAGAGCATTCTTTACTGTGCCATACTTCAGTGAGATCAGTTACAGATTTGGCATTTCAATTTTCAAATCGCATATATGAGTGATTTTTTTTTATTAATATTATATAAATTTACTCATTTAATATTATATTATATATTATATAATGTAT